CTACCTGTGGATGAAACCACCACCAGCATCCTCAGACAGACGAGACTCCCAATACCCATCATGCTGAAATGATCTTGCAACCTCTCCTCTCGGGCCATGGGTCCTTCAAACAAACATTATCTACTTTGGGAAATCGATGATTTATTTGCCATTACTTAGCAGCGATGGTGAAGGAAAGGTGAGCGTGGGGTCATCGCTTCAGCGAGCACCAAAGCGAAGCACCAGCCCTGAATAATTCATGTTCCCTCTTTTCTGCAGCATCTGGACACATCTGCTGCATTCACCATCACAGGTTTTTTCTCGACTGACTCAGAAAATGATGCTGTGGTAGCTGGGTAGTGTTTCAAGTGGGTACTTTCAAAAAGATGAGTTACAAAGAGGGATTTTTGTTCCTCTTTTACTGATGTCACTCTGTGATCCTGCGGGGAATAACACTCGGATCTCTGCAGCCTGATGAGCCCTGTGTGCCCTTTGGGACAGGTGTACTTGCAAGTGGGAGATTGTTTTTCCTTTTGCTGCTCAGATTTATATTTCACCCAAGTCCAGTATCGATCCCACTGCCTCTGGGCTAAAAGCTCATTTTACTAAATGGGAAGAAAAACAGTTCCCTCAGCTGTACTCAGGCAAAATGGAAAATCCTGCAACAAAACAGCTCTGAAAAAAAAAAAAAAGAGGCCTGAACCATGACGTTGAACCTCGAGGAGTTTGCTGCTGACATCGGAACGGGTTGTAATTTATTTAGCCTGACCTTTCCCTGCCAGATCGTGCTGGCGGCGTTATCAAGGATCCTTTCTAGCACTTGTACGCCCATTGCCAAGGTGACGTCCCGTTTCATGCGTCAGTCGGTGAAGATCACATCCACGCTGCCGTGATGCTTTGTTTGCTGTCCTGCCTGACAAGCTCTTGGCAGAGTTTCAGCTCCCACGGATGGCAGCTTCTCCGTGAGGGACCAAACCAGATTCAAGCTGGATGTTATTAGGGGGAGTTTCATGTAGACAGAGCACAGGACTGGGGTCCCTTGGATGAGACTGGACTATGGATGAGTGTCCTGCTTTTGCTAGGATAGAGTTAATTTTCTTTTTAGTAGCTAAAATAGCTGTGTTTTGGTTTCAGGGTAAGACTTGTTATGAGAGGAATGTTGATAAAGTACTGATGTTATTAGTTGCTGCTGGAGCTCAAGGTCATCGTGTTTGGCTGGTTCACAGCTGCATTAGGACCGGGAGGGGAGAAGTGCAGTGAATAGCAAACCCCAAAACTGGCATTTAGATGTGCCAATGAAATATTCCATATCATATCCCGTCATGTTTAGTATATTAACCAAGGCTGATTGGAAAAAAGGCGGGGGGAGTTCTCTCGGGAATCACTCGGGCTCACTTTTCTAGGATTGCAATTTTGGTTTCAGGGTTACTTTTCACTCCTCCGGGATCATTATCAGCAGGTGGTGAGCAATTGTACTCTGCATCACTCATATATATATAGTTGTTATCATTATTATTATTTTATTTTTACTCTAATTATTAAGTTGTTCTTATCTCAACCTACAAGTCTCCTGACCTTTACCCCTCCAGTTCTCTCCCTGATTCCCTGGGTGGGGGGGAAAGGGGGGTAGGGAGGAGCTGCAAGTGGCTGTGTCTAGTTTAGCTGCCAGCCAAGTTAATCTATCACAATGAGATAAAGCAAAGGTGCCCAGAGGTGCTACCAGGTGTAGTGGGACAGGCAGGTGACCACAGCACTACACCCCATGCTCATCCCCATCCCATCTCAGTTGGGATTTGTGTGAGCCCTCATGGTTCCAGGGAAGTGGAGGCAGCTCACTGGTGCTCACCACAGCAGGTTGAGCACGACCGGTGGAACAGGTCCTGCTGCTCCACAAAACCCAACGTTTTCCTCTCCCCTCCTGGCACTTTCCCAGCAGGTCCCAGGAGGAGATGGGGATGCAGATGGGGAGGATGCATCTGCTCTTCACAAGAGATCCTGTGGCAGTGGGGACAGCCACAGCAGGGAAAGACATGGTCCCAATAAAGCTTCTCCCCCACCTCACCAAGGGACTGAAATCTCTGAACGAGGGGGATTTTCACTGCTGGTTCCCATGGCTCTCAAGGGGACTTCAGTGGTGGATGAGGACAAAGGCTGCAGCTAAAACTGTCCCCAGACCCCACCAGCTTCTTATAAGGAGCTCAAAGGTCTACAGTCATGTGGGGGAAAAATCAATTAGGTGGCTTATAGGGGCAAAGCCTGCTCTGCTTCAGATGTCAAAGGTAGGAAAGCCTCATGGAGGTTTCCCTCATGTCCATCCATCTCACACTCCAGCCCTCCCAGCCTTGTGGCGGCCTGCACCCCTCTCCCACAGGTCTGATCTGAAAGAGGACACATGTCCTCTTGAGAGGACAGGACAGGAGATGCTCTTAGCCACAGACATAGCTCCAACAGTACCTGTGTTCTCCTCGGACTGGTTGAAGCCACAGATCTGGCAGATGCTGCGAACCCACTTGTTCATGTCGTCCTCAGTCTCAGCCACCAGGTAGAAGGTCCTGTCACTGGTCTTGATGTCAAAGATGTAGCTGTCTTGCAGCTCCTTCTTATTGAAGGTTAGGCCTGCGTCCACTTGCTCACAGAAATTGAGGTTGATCACACGCAAAGGTTTCTTGGAGTGGTCATTTTTGTAGTACTCCAGGACATCGGGGTCGCCACTCATCCGACCACTGCGCAGGACAAACCAGCGTTTCTTCCATGCCTGAAACCAAAAAGAGAGGAAGCATGAACCCCATCACTCAAGTCATGAGCATGAAGAAACACTGCCAGGCACAGAGTGACACAGATGGACATGACAGAAGGTGTCCCTGTTGATAGCAGATCATTGGAACTAGATGATTTTTAAGGTCCCTTTCAACCCAAACCATTCTATGACTCTGTGACACCTTTCCACCCTGGGATGTTCTGGGATACAGCTTAGGACATCCCTGCAAGAGGTGCACAGACTCAGCTCAGTTCATCAGATCAATACGCAAATTCCACTGGTTATCCAGGAGAATTAAATCGCAAAATATCATTGTAGCTTAAGATGACCCCAAGAAATGCTAGTCTTGAGGCTTAGAGCAACTTTGCTCCTACCCTACAGCCCAGCCACACTCCCAGGACCTAAGTACCTTGATGTGAGCTAGAATCATAGAATGATAGAATGGTTTGGGTTGGAAGGGACCTTAAAGATCATCCAGTTCCAACCCCCCTGCCATCAGCAGGGACACCTTCCACTAGACCAGGTTGCTCAAAGAGCCTCATCCAACCTGACATTGAACACTTCCAGGGAGGAGCAGCCACAGCTTCTCTGGACAACTTGGGACACTATCTCACCACCCTCACACCAAAGAATTTCTTCCTCACATCTCAGCTCCATCTCCCCTCTGACACTTTCAAGCCATCACCCCTTGTTCTCTCACTCCCTGCCCTTGGACAAAGTCCCTCCCCAGCCTCCCTGGAGCCCCTTCAGGTACTGGGAGGCCACTAGAAGGTCTCCTCGGAGCCTTCTCTTCTCCAGGCTGAACAGCCCCAACTGTCTCAGCCTGTCCTCACAGCAGAGCTGCTCCAGCCCTGGCATCATCCTGGTGGCCTCCTCTGCACTGGCTCCAGTAGCTCCATGTCCTTGTGCTGTTGGTGGCCCCAGCACTGGAGGCAGCACTGCAGGTGGGGTCTGAGGAGAGCGGAGCAGAGGGGCAGAATCCCCTCCCTCCACCTGCTGCCCACACTGCTCTGGGTGCAGCCCAGGATAGACAGATAATCTGCAGGGCAACATTACAGGCAATCTCAGTGCCAAAATGCCTTCCAGTAGCTCAGAGGAGCTCAGGTGCTTTGGATGCAGCGTCCTGAGTATCCTGCCCTTCAGAGAAACCCCTGAGAGCATCACAGTGTACATCTGCAGATACCAACCACGTCAATCCCATTTCTGTTTAAATGCCAGGATAGAAAGGCTAATAAAATCAACAAGGAACTAGTTTGTTTTTTTAAATATCAGTAATAATGCCAAGGAGATCCGTGGAGAATCCAAGTTTCATTTGTTCTTCAGCATCTTCTAGTCCCTCCTATGTAGGAAACTTCTTAGCAAAGGAAAAGGTTATAATCAATTCTTCTGAGAACTGCTGACGGCGGCCCCCAGCCAAACCACCCAGGGAACAGACTCAGGGGGTTATGATATTTGAAGCAAATGGGCAAAATAAATGTCAGCCATCAGCCCTGGCACTGGGAGCTGGGTCCCTTCTGCTCTCTCCATGCCAAATGCAGTTGGGAACCCAGAGGATGGAGAACAGCCACAACGATAATGTGCTAAATTCTACGACTTGCATTGCAGAGAGAATTGAGCGCGTGTAACTCCCCATCCCATGGGCTGGAGGGGTTTCTTTTGGGGTTGGGCCCTGTATGAGCATCCTAGTACCTGTGAGAGGGATGCACGGTGTGAGGGACCACCTTGTATGGAAGGGAAGGACTAGATCTAAACACAGTCCTTACAACATCTGAATTTGTTCAGGCTGCCTTTGAAGGCAGTGAAGGTTTGAGAGGTCCACAAACAAAACTGGCTGGATACAGCCCACGTGGATGAGTGGGGTGATGTAAGTTATTACCAGTGCTCCAGCATGACCCAACACAGACCTTGATTTGCACCAAAGGATGCCAAGGGAGAGGATGTGATCCCCACTGTCCTGCCCTGGCTCTAGACATTTGGGGTTTTTTTAATGAGATTTACCTTATTTTTTGTTTTAAACCACCAGTTTTGGGGTTCATATGATTATGAGAGGTTGGGTCATGAGGAAGCACGTGGTGTTCCTAAGAAGAACCAACAGCCACAAACATCTTTAATAACCCAAGAGAGACAGCAAGGCGAGATTTGCAACCAAATTAGTTTTGTACTAATTCTCAAACTGGCCCCCAGTGCCAGGAAAGCAACTTGAGTGCAATCTTCCAAATGCAGTGGAGCAGCAAATTGCTTAGCAAGGCTAGTAGATTTTGGTTTCATCCAGGAAATGCTCACCCACTTCTCATCAAAACAGCTGCTTTTACATGAAAAAGAAAGGCACACAGCAGAGCTGGGTCTATCAGCGAGGGAAAAAGGCAATTTCACCAGGCAGCAGCAATAATTTTCTAGTCCATCTCCTCAAAATGGATCACTCAAATCATTGGGAAACAAACTCATGAACATTTTTTCTAGCTCTAGGTGGAAAATATCCCATTAGCTTCTTCCTATTAACACTGAGCCATTTCTTCACAGCCACTTGGCAGGACTAAGACATGGGCACTCACCAGTGAAGGGGTCTAAAAGAAGATCAGGTTGTGCAACCACATGAACCAAGACCTGAAGGAAGACACATCCAACACCAGTTCTTGCTACTTGGCTTGTTGCTTTCAGAGCCAAGCCTTGCAGCATCCCTTCATGGCTGAGAAGCTGCATTAAAAAAATCACAAAGTACAGAAGCTAAACTCCAGAATTTAGAGCTTTCGTGGGAAAAATAGGAGGAAATGCTGCAAGTAAGGCCAGTGATGCTACCACAGCTTCCCTTTTCATTGCCAATGCGAGAGCCACAACTTCTCTAGTTCTCTTTGGTCTGACTGGTAGCAATGGTAGCACTGGAAAACCCCATGCAGTCAATATTTAGCAGAGAAAACAGTAAAACACATGTAGTCTGGTGGTGTTGGGTAAGTCCTAACATAAGCTGGTTGCAAAAGAACTGCTCTTGCCAGGACAAAATTTCTTGAGAAACTTCAGGAGTTGGACAAGATAGGACAAGAGGAAATGGCCTCAAGTTGCACCAGGGGAGGTTTAGATTGGATATTAGGAAAAATTTCTTCACTGGAAGGGTTGTCAAACATTGGAACAGGCTGCCCAGGGCAGTGGTGGAGTCACCATCCCTGGAGGTATTTAAAAGTTGGGTAGATGTGGTGCTTAGGGACATGGTTTAGTGGTGGACTTGGCAATGTTAGGTTTACAGTTGGACTTGATGATTTTAAAGGTCTTTTCCAACCAAAATAATTATATGATTCTATGATTCTATGAAGCATCACTGGAGGCTAGAACCCTTGGACCAACAGCCTCACCAACCTGGGATGACCACCCTGTCCACCTCTGCCTGGTGCCCTGATAAAGAGTCACAGATATTCTTCTAAAACAGCTTCTGATCCAGTAAAACAGCTCATGGCAGCAGCCTCTGGACTTGCCTGTTCTGGACAGGTGGCTGCAGGCAGCACAGCTGGATGCATCACACAGAATCACAGAATCACAGAATGTCAGGGATTGGAAGTGACCTCAAAAGATCATCCAGTCCAATCCCCCTGCCGGAGCAGGAACCTAAATGAGATCACACAGGAAGGCGTCCAGGCGGGTTTTGAATGTCTCCAGAGAAGGAGACTCCACACCCTCCCTGGGCAGCCTGTCCCAGGGCTCTGTCACCCTCACTGTAAAGAAGTTTCTTCTCAAGTTTAAGCAGAACCTCCTGTGTTCCAGCTCACACCCATTGCCCCTTGTCCTACCATTGGGCATCACTGAGAAGAGCCTGGCTCCATCCTCCTGACATTCACCCTTTACATATTTATAAACATTAATGAGGTCACCCCTCAGTCTCCTCTTCTCCAAGCTAAAGAGCCCCAGCTCCCTCAGCCTTTCCTCAGCAGGGAGATGCTCCACTCCCTTCATCATCTTGGTGGCTCTACCAAGGGGAGAGCTGCAGGGATGTGCATGTCCCACTGCACGTCCCTGCAGCAGGATCAGGTGTTCCTGCCTCCAGCTTCTGAGCCAGGGGAACACGTATGGACCATTAGAAGAGAATGGAAGGAAATCATAAATAAATAGCCAGGAACCTTCTTATTGTAGTGGAGTTTTTCCCCATTTCTTTGAATTTTTGAGCCCTGAGCTTGGAAAGTGTATTTTAGTTCTTCCCCATGGATTTACTGTCTCCATTAGGAAAAGGGCTCAGCTTGTGTTTGGCAGGTGAAGCTGCTCTTGGAGAATCTCGTGACAATAATGGATCTTCCTTCAACATATAGTGATACGTGGCAAAGGATACGCAGCCTGCAGCGCATGGCCCATCCTCCTGGGACACCTATTTCCTCATTCCAAGCTATCAATATCATCCAAATCTTCCATGTTTAGGCTTCACCAGAATATCATCTTCCTGAAAGTGGATGATTTAAGGTTCTACTGTCCACCAGCTGTGTCAGCAGTAGGACGCATAGGATACATATGTGCATGGCAATTGCAGCTCATGCCAAACCAGAGGAGGATGCAACTTCACATGAACCTACGTGCTGTTTACACAGAATGGTAGGGGTTAGAAGGGACCTCAGGAGATCATCTAGTCCAACCCCCCTGCCAAAAAACAGTTTGTACAGAAACCTGGTTTCCAAGACCGCCTTTTGCCACCATGAGGCTGTGTTGGCCAACACACAACTCGTCCTCCACTTGGATTTCCTTCTCTCATTTCTATTTCTTCCTGGCTCCTTTGAAGCCCCTATTGCTGCCAGCCCGATCCTGACAAAACCCTGTGCCTCACCGACACGTGGTGTAAGCCAAGGGTGGAGTTTGTTTAACAGCTTTACAACATAGAGAGGCCAACAGCTTAACAGTCATAAAATGGTGCCTTTGCGGCACAAATTTCCAGCTGTGTGGTCCTTCTCCTGCATCACAGTCAAATTACAGCTGCTAAAGGCCCTTAATATGATTAAGAAATATTTTGACACTTGGCAAGTACTTCT